TATATATATATATATATATATATATATATATATATATATAATATTTTTAAAAATGGCCATTTATATAATAATATTTAATAAACTGTTATTTGGAAATGAAAATTGATTAAGTGTTTAAGGTATTGTCCCTATATTATTATTTTGAAAATGTAATTCATTAACTTATTTTAACCGTCTTCCAGAGGTAAAATGTAAACCGACGATTTATTTTTAATAAACCACACTTAAAATAGATTAACTTTTATTTGTTATACAATTGATTATATCAATTTACACGGTACAGAAATACAGGTTATCCAATATCACTGTTTTATGACACACAATCTAAATTGCTAAACTAGTGAAGAATAACTCATGTCAGATACGTCATTTTCAACACCGATTATAAAACGTTGATATCATTTCTCTTCCTTTTACAAAACTGGTTTTGGAGAAAAGTACTAGTTTATTGCCAAGAAAGTTATTGATAGAATCAAAAAAAATATTTTGATAACTAAAGAAAAAACTTCCGCTGTCGATGTCCTATCATCTCATTTTTTCTCGCTTTGAACTGGAAAAAACCAAGAACAATTAAGTGGACATCATTTCTTTGAAGCCATTCCGAGTAAATTCACCACCACTTGGTTAAATATATCAAGGCGCTAAAAGGCGTTCTGTGAAATAAAATGTAGTTATTAATTATGAAATTCTGAGGAAAATATCAATGATAAATGTTTTAAGGTTAATTTTAAAACAACTGATTTATTAAATTCATTATTTATTTAAGTAATTTTGCTGGACGAAATATATTTAATGCTCAGTGCATGGCTAGTAATTACTCTGAATTAGGGTCTGACTACATTTTTCATCGTTGTCACTTAATTCTTCCGCTTTTAGTCTTCAATTAGACAGCATATATTATAAATGATGAAAATTATGCTGATACCTCTAGTATATCATTTTAATTCCTTCATGGAAAGTAATTGGTTCATTGATATCCAGAGAATGCAAACACTGTTTCGAGAACACGTATGTGAACATTAACGAAACGCGTGAAGGTTGCGTGCAGTGACAGAGATAAAACAGTTTTGTTCGTGTGATACAAGTGTAATTTTGCACCTCATAACACGGCGATGTCTACCACATCTTACACTTCACAGCATGATGAACACGTTACTCGTAATTACTGCAACTAAGTCAAATTCGTGTATCATTTCTTTTAGTTTCGTCAAGCTCGTTAACTTCTCTGAAATAATAAGCGACAAAGTTATTGCTCTTGCGCCAGACGTGTATAATGGTATCATTGTGATAATTGCATTTCCTGGCAGTTGCATCATTACCACAATTGTTATAAATTGAAATCAACAACTGAGCACTTCAAATTAAGGTGCCTCAGAATAATATTACTTTCTGAGATTAAGCGTGAATAGATGCTTGCCATTCCTTTATTATCTCTCCGTTCCCTTTTTATTAAACACATTTCTAAAATAACAGATTAGCGCTTTAGAGAATGTTTTGATATTGATAATATACAGCTAACTTGGTGTTAGCCATAATGAGAAAACTCCCTCTGGAGTCCTCAATTTTAATTTACGTATTATGTTGTTGGGGTGATTTGGAGGAATGGTAGAGGGTTACGAACTAATATCATTTGGTTAAAAGAGAAAATGGGTTGTTAAGGTGGTCTGAAGTTATCCTTGGGGAATCTGAATTGAATTCTCTTTGGGTGTAGGATTTTTCAAGTCGGAAATTACATGTTACTGGAGAAGACGGTAAGGTTTTCAAAACATATAGGAACGTTTGGAAATGAATTGGGCTGTTGTGGATATATCAGATACTCTAAGCAATTGATTATTAGAAATAAACCAAGGTGTTATTGCTGCAATCTCTTTCCCTGACTTATCACGATTCAGGCTTAGCGTTTCATTGTATGTTGATAATAAGTCAATGTAGAGGGAAAATGATCACAACAGGTTATTGATTTTAATAGAAATTATTTTTTTTTCAATGTTTGGTGGCATCATATGTTAACCATGACTCAGTTTTATGGTGATACATATGTTTTTACACGGTTCTCAAACCATTTGAATATGATTCCGAGAACATTACGTGTTCTGCACCGCATCAAGACCCTACTCCATCGAGACAAGCACGAAGCTACACCACAATTAAAACAAAATTTAGTTGATTTTCTTAGAAGCTCCATTTTGCTTCTTCTCTTTCCATTATTTCCCATTACAAAAACAGACTACCTAAACGCAGTCCAAACTTTAACGTAGTTTTTATCTCGCGCTCTGTGAGGTGATTTGCGGCAATTAGCCAGTGTATAAAAGCACAAGAGGTAACGAACCTCGTCCATCCCATTTCTGTCTTCCACCAGTTTCTCTGACGTCTTCCACCCCGCTCTCTCGACCCTCCACCGCTTTGAAAGACTGCGTTCAGCGAAATCGCGTTTTGTTTTGCTCTATAAGGCAATTTAATGTCTCGTTGGCCTTACAATTTGAGGTTCGTTTTGCATAACCTTAACCTGCCAATGCTTCTTGTCTCTAGCTGCTGGCTCTTGATTTAAAGGCACATTACCTGGGCTACGAGAGCGTTGAGAGGCAACCAGTGACCACAAATTTATGATGAACTGGATTCAACATCGTTATCTTTACGAGTGCTTTCCAGCCCGCGTCGACATCGTTTGACAGACGTATGTCCCTAATTCTGGGTTATTTTGTCCGTTTTGCTTGGGGGTTTTCTAGAGTTATGTAAGACCGTCCGAGGTCTGCCGTAAACAAAGAATTTTTTTAAACATAGAGACCATAAATGCAATATTATTAAATACCCCATTGTTCCAAGGAAATAAGGATGGGAACTACTTTAATGATGTGTTTTATAAGTCATTTATTACAGTTTTAACGAGAATGTTATAATAAAGAGTGTTTGGTAAACCTATGTGAAGTTTATGGAGGTTATATTCTCAAATTTACTCGACCCGTTTAACATATCTTTTAGCAATTTCTCCAGTTGAACGGAAAATACTGCGATTAAAATTATGTGTCCTCATGAAATTCGGCGTGTTAGTAGAATACCGCCATTTTACATTGTTGGTAAGATAAACAAAACAATACAATATACAACAATTATTATCGACACATTTAGAAGAACACATTTTACCTTTTTACGTGCCTAATTTTTGAGAATAATATACTTCGAAAAAGGATAAATCCTTTTCAATGAAACGTATAATATCATATTAATAATAAATTATAAAATATTTTTAAATTTTAAAATATACTTTCATAAAATTGAAGTGTTACACTCAACTAAAAGTTGCCAGCTCGAAATTTGTTTTCTTCCCAGCCATTATTATTTGGCTTCTGGCGAAAACAGGCGCTATCTCTGCCATTGCGCGTTAATGCGCAGTCAGAATAAAAAATAGCTATAAATTAGGTTGACGTGAAATTATTTTACAGCAATTCTCAAAAAAAAAAAAAACTTTTTGAGAATGGCGTGGTGAGTTGTAAGATGACATGTCAAAATATGTATATTTTGTTATTTCAAAAATGTATGTGTTGACGCATTCGTACCTCCAACGCACAATTCACCGATGAGGATGCTCAAAGGTTTAAAAAACGTATCGATGGTCGGAAGTCTGTATCGATGTTTTGACGTAACCGTTATATCTAACTTTTAATATCGGTTTACATAATACTACCTATTTGCATAGCGAGATGCACCTTGGAACTTTTCAGGCGCTTCTCAGTTTCCGCGCATGCCCAGTTCGAGTTGCGCATGTACGATTTGAGTTGCACATTCGCAATTCGAGTAGCGCATGCGCAGTTCGAGTAACACATGCGCAGTTCGAGTAGCGCATGCGCAGTTCGAGTAGCGCATGCGCAGTTCGAGTAGCGCATGCGCGGTCCGAGTTGCGAATGCGCGGTTCGAGTTGCGCATGCGCGGTTCGAGTTGCGCATGCGCGGTTCGAGGTGCGCATGCGCGGTTCGAGGTGCGCATGCGCGGTTCGAGGTGCGCATGCGCGGTTTGAGGTGCGCATGCTCGGTTTGAGGTGCGCAT